TAGATTGTCTCAGTGCTAATTATTTTCATTCACTTCCATTTAATCAAATTTATTTAATTTAAATTTTGACAATAATTATGCAAACTTGAAAAAAATGCCGTATTCTAGGCTAGTTTTCTCAGACATAAGTTATGAAGCCATGTGGTTTATACCCATTCTGTTATAATGAACAAGGGGTCCTGTTTGGCTCCCCTGAATGACAACCTCTTTTCACTACTTAAGAAATCTCTGTGAGGGTGCTAGAGAGATGGCTCAGCAGTTTAGAGCATTGGCTGCTTTTCCAAGATTCTGAATTCAATTCCCAGCAACCACATGGCAGCTCACAACCATCTATAATGGTGTCTGATGCCCTCTCCTAGCATACAGACATGCATGTAGATAGAGCACTCATACTCCTAAAATGCATACATAAATAAAAAGGAAAAGAAAAAGGAATTCCTATGGTAGAACTGTGTGATAAAAGAAGCCATTCTGCATTAGGAAATCGAAGGGACTAGAAGCTCACTTCTCTATGCCTACATGGCTTAGAACTTAAGTTTGGAAATCCAGTCGTGCCTGGACTTTTGAATTTGCAATCAGTTTGCTTATTGGTAACATTACAAGCCCCCAGACAGAGGTGCAGCAGCTTCCAAATGGTTGATTCACACTGAAGCTAGACACCTGCAAGGACAAGTGACCAGCAGTGGTCACTGTGTTAGCCCCATGAAGCATCTTGCTGCTGGTTTTCTTGGCTTTTGGTTCTGTGTCTTCCTAGGGAATAAATCAATATCTAAAAATCCCTTCCTAATTTTGCCAAAGTCAGTTTCTGCTCATTGCTGCTTAGAAAACTGAAAAATCTAGTTGGCTTCCTTACAAAGATGTTGTGAACTAGATAGGTCTGGGTTAGTTTAAATATGTAGTAAAGAATAAAGTATAGACATTATTTCCTAAGTATTTGGGAAAGTACATACCTTAATGCAAACAAAGAATGTGCAAGGTGAAAACTTTCACAACAGTAATGTGATTCCAAGCACTCATAGGGAGGCTCACAACCATCCCTCCTAACACAAGCTCCATGGGCTCCCCGACCACCTCAGGCACCAGGCACATATATGCTGCATATACATTCATGCAAAACAAAACAAAACAAAACAAACAAACAAAAAAAACACTCATGCACAGAAGACAAAATAAAATTAAAATAAAAAATTAGGAGTGGGTGCAAAATAGCAGCTCACCTATAAATCTGTAGGAAAAGAACTGAAACAGAATTTAACTTTAAGGGTAGAGTTCTTTGTTTTACATCTAAGTCCTAGGTAAGGAAACAGGAGGCCACCTGCTACAACTCCCTTAGCCGGAAAGAAGGAGCCCCCTCCAGATTAATTCTGTTTGCTCTCCCTTCCTGCTTCCCTGAAACCAGTCAGTTTTATGTTTCCATGCTTTTGAAACTGCTCAAAAATAAAACTGTCCAGAACCAGCAAGCGCATAGAGCAAAGCTGTGTTCATTTGTGTTCAGTGCAGGTGGCCCTCTGTGTCCAGGGCTTCCACAGTCATCCATTCAACAAACCACTGACTGAAGTCATTCAGAAAAACCTTTGTGTTTGGGCTGAACATGTACAGATGGTCCCTATGTGTTTGTCCTCGGAACAAAATGGCACATCTATCTATACATTTGCATCATCTCTGAGGTGACTTAAATACATGGAACAATGTGCATAGGTTATCTATAAACACTACACCTGTTTTACACAGGCTTATGCACATTCACAGACTTGGTTTTTGAGGGAGGATATGGAAGCCAGTCAATCAACCATGGATATTTAAGGGCGGCCGAACATCTTCTTAAAGTGCCTCTGAGACTATTAGAGTCTCAAGATCCAATAGAAGACTATGAGAAGAGTGAAACAGACTCTATAATGAAAACTGTAATATTCAAATTTAACACCTATTGCTTTAGTGCCAGTCTTGCTTTGCATTTCTGTACTTGCTGGTGCATTTCTGGCTATCTTGCCTGCATCTTAAACACCTCCTGTACTCCAGGAAATCAGACCTTTGATGTTTAAGCTTAGGCCGGAAATCTTTCAGGGTTTCAGCAATCATTAAATGTAAATTTGTTGTTTTGAAGAGACTCTTTGTGTGAATGTTCTAAGAAGTGAAAAAAAAAAATTAAGAATTTATCCTAAGGAGTACTTTGTCTGGGTTATCCATAAGAAGGTGGTACAAGGCTTAAGAAATAAGAGCTAAAGAGCAAAGCTGAGATTCAAAAAAGTAAACATACATTTGTTAGTTTATTTTGTCACCTTTAAGATCAAGAACTCTTTCCTTGAAATAATATTTCCCTGCTTACTTCGACATCTTTTAATGATGAGCTGCTCAACTCAACATCAAAACCAATAATAATTTCTCTCCAATGAAAATGTACTATTTTACTGTTTTTAGCAATGGTCATCAAAATAAGAAATATTTAAGCAACTCTACATTGCTAGCTATCTGATTTAAAAAAGACTAAGATTTTTAATAAAAAATATTCTCAAAGAATCATTCCATCACTTCAGTTAAGGAAAGCTAAAATTAAAAGTCACAAAAAGTCCAGTTTATTGATTTCCTTAGGCCACTTAAAAATAAACTTGGGCCTGTATTCTTAGCATGAAACAAAATATCGACACTCCCCTTCAGGCATCTGACCATACTTCAAATACTGATCTTATCACTGTTGGCAAATCAAACATTGTTGGACTTTAAAAGGAAGAAAGGAAAAAACCTGGAGTCACTGGAAACCACCAGGGGGTTGAGCTGTGGCTCTCAGTAAGGCCAGCACACACACACACACACACACACACACACACACACACACACACACACACAGCACACCCTTGAGTAAGAACATTTGGCTTCAATTCGATTTCTTTTTTCAATAACTAAGATTTAGAATATGACGCAGAAAGACTCTTATTCTGAATTTGACCACTTGATATCTCTCTATGTGTCTGCAAATCGAAAATGGGATATTCTCATGTCTTGGCCATTTGAGTTCCAAATGAAAACCATAAGTCACCATGATAAATCATAAAATAATTAAATCAAGAGACTTGGAAATGGGCCAAGAGTCAGATGGGATTTTTCTCATGTGTTTCAACTACTGGTTGTGTCCTTTCTATTTTTTGTAACAAATTATGACATGTAAGTAGGCATTGAAGTTGAAGGCTCCCCAACAGTAAGAAGTACACAGAGTAAATTTCCTGTTTGTTTGCATAAATGTCTCATCTCTTTTAAAAAGACTTTCAGAACTTTCCACTTCTGATTCTCAGAGACCAAAGGCCATTGGGCTTCTTGGAATATAATCTGACATTTGCCAGCAAAATCTACCAATGAAGTTAGTGTTGTGTAAATACATCAGGTAGGAGTTAAACTCCTGAGATAGAGGCGCTCAAGCTGACTACAGAAAATGCTAAAATGATGGCTATTTCTTTCTAAAACTCGACACACTTAGATATCGCATCTTTTATTTCGACTGAAATTTAAAAGGGTTCTTCACACACCCCTCTTTTCCAAATTCGGTATTTTATTGAAAAGGAATTGTTCCATTATTCCAGTTCCTTGTTTCATAGTAATTTTTTTTTTGTTATTGGGAAAAATATTTCGACATAAGCAAGGTTACCCAGAAACTCACTGAAAAAGGCGCTGGATTTTGATTGTGAGGGGCTCCGGATGCGCGGCAGGGAGAACAAAACCTTTTGGGGGGGGGGGATCTGCACTGAGATGAAACCTGACCGACCAACACAAGGGGGCAGGAAGCACTCAGGCTTAGGACTGGGCTGGCTGAACGGAGATTTATCTGAATTCTTCGTCCTCCGGGTGTTTATCAATTCTCTCTCAGCGTGCAAAGAATTGCGATGCTGACAAGTGTGTTTAGCTTGTACTTCACCTAATTACTGCGAAGGGAATAGAGAGCGTCTGCAGTGACAGCTATCCGCCAGCAGTGGCTTGAGGACAGCCTGGGGCTACATTCTCTGGAACTTCTCTGGTAGATGACTAGAAATTCAGATCCTACTGCATTTCTCACACACTACAAATGCCCTCCCCTATTCCCCCACCCCCAAACTCTGTGAACTTAGGTTGCAAAGGAGGGTCTTGAAAAAAAAAAAAAAAACAAAAAAAAAAACCACCCAATCCGCGGACCATGTCCATTGTAAAATATGGGGAAATCAGTAAAGGCCGGGGAGGGGGTGGGGGAGATGGTCCAACCCGCTCTAGCTAGCAGAGTCTGGTTTTTAATCTCCTGTCCTTCAGAAAACCCCCAGTGTATTCCCAAGCTGCTCTGGGTTCCTATTCAAACTCAGACGATAAGGTGTTTAACTTTGCTCCCTCCGCTTTGCAAGTTTCTGCGAGAAGTGGCCTTGCTGGGAGGGATTTCGATGACAGGGAAGGGAACTGAAATGGATTAATCTTGGCCCCAGACCTGAAAATCTGAGTCCATAGTACCGCATTGGGTCCTGGTTGAGCCGCAGACCCAGGTCTAGAGATATCTATTTTCCCCCAAGCAGATCCAGGCACCCACCCTCTGTTCCAACCAACCTGTTGCACTTCTCTCCTTTCAGCTCTGCGCAGTTTCCCCGCCTGAGAGCTGATTGACAGCAGTCACTACCCAACCCTGGATTCAGAGCCTCCTTCAGGGACCAGCGATTGGCCCCCTGGGAGAATTGGAGTTAGGGGGTGCAAGGGGAGGGATTTCCCTCAAAGGCTAAGGTCCCGGGACCTGGGAAGTAGGGACTGTCCTGACTGCCACATTCCCCGGACGCTCTGGAAGTGTTTAGCATCTTGAGTTGCTGCTCCAGGTCGGGACCGCGCGGCGCGCTGGGCCATCCTCCTGTTCCTGCCCCGCAACTGGGAGGACCCCGCAGGCGCCGCGCCCAGTGTTCCGCTCTTCCCAGCGGTCTCTCTGGAAGCTAGCACCCAGACTAGCTTCGCATAGTCACAGGGTGAACTGTTGCAAATCTAACGCCGGGACCCTGCATACCACAACGACTCCTGGGATGGCCACCCGAGCGCGCAGGACAGCCAAGTCCTCCGGCTTCCAGACGATACCCACACAGTCGTCCAGGCTGCTGCTGCTGTTCCTGTCACTGGTAAGCCGCGTCTCCACACAGCCCGCTGTCCCAGGAGAAGCATTTTTGTTCCCGGGTCTTTCCGGGACTTCCAGTGGTCCCTGCAGAGGAAGCTATAGTGGTGGCGAACCGCGGGCTCCGGGTGCCCTTCGGTCGCGAAGTCTGGCTGGATCCAGTGCGTGACTTGGTGCTGCAGGTGCAGCCAGGGGATCGCTGCTCAGTGACTGTGCTAGATAATGACGCGCTGGCCCAGCGGCCTGGCCGCTTGAGTCCCGAGCGCTTCGCGTGCGACTATGGCCCGGGAGAGGTGCGCTACTTGCACCTGGGGTGCTCGCAGCCCTTCGCGCGACCGCGTCCGGCTGCAGCTGCGCTATGATGCCCCAGGAGGGGCGATAGTCCTGCCTTTGGCCTTAGAGGTGGAAGTGGTATTCACTCAGCTGGAAGTTGTGACTCGGAACTTACCTCTGGTCGTGGAAGAACTACTAGGGACCAGCAATGCCCTGGACTCTCGGAGCTTAGAGTTTGCCTACCAGTCTGAGACTGAGGAGTGCCGCGTGGGCATCTTGTCAGGTTTGAGTGCTTTGCCTCGTTATGGAGAGCTCCTTCACTACCCACAGGTCCCAGGAGGGGACCTCGGAGACCCTTTTGATGGACTGCAAAGCATTCCTGGAGCTGGGAGTGCGCTATCGTCACACAGCTCCCAGTCGCTCACCTAACAGGGACTGGCTACCTATGGTGGTAGAGCTACACTCCGAGGGGCTCCTATGGGTAGCCCGCCTTTAAAACGTGAGCACTTCCAGGTGCTTGTGAGGATCCGCGGAGGAGCAGAGAACACTGCACCGAAGCCCAGTTTCGTGGCCATGATGATGATGGAGGTGGACCAGTTTGTACTGACCGCTCTAACACCAGACATGCTGGCAGCAGAGGATGCTGAATCCAACCCGGACCTTTTGATCTTCAACCTCACCTCTGCCTTCCAGCCTGGGCAGGGCTACTTGGTGAGCACTGATGACCGAAGCCTGCCTCTCTCCTCCTTTACACAACGGGATTTGCGCTTGCTGAAGATTGCCTACCAGCCTCCCTCTGAAGACTCTAACGAGGAGCGTCTGTTTGAACTGGAACTGGAGGTAGTGGACCCCGAAGGAGCAGCCTCAGACCCTTTTGCCTTCATGGTTGTGGTGAAGCCCATGAATACGTTGGCCCCAGTGGTCACACGAAACACTGGCCTTATTCTCTATGAAGGTCAATATCGGCCACTCACGGGTCCTGTAGGCAGTGGACCCCAGAACTTGGTCATCAGTGATGAAGACGATCTCGAAGCTGTGAGACTAGAGGTGGTAGCCGGGCTCCGGCATGGCCACCTTGTTGTTCTAGGGTCTCCCAGTAGTGACTCTGCTCCCAAGACCTTCACAGTGGCTGAGCTGGCCGCTGGCCAGGTTGTCTACCAGCATGATGACAGAGATGGCTCACTGAGTGACAACCTGGTGCTGCGCATGTCAGATGGAGAAGGCAGGCACCAGGTCCAGTTCCTGTTCCCCATCACTTTAGTGCCTTTGGATGACCAGCCACCTGTCCTGAACGCCAACACTGGGCTGACCATGGCAGAGGGCGAAACTGTGCCTGTCCCACCCACGACTCTGAGTGCAACTGATATGGATTCAGATGACTCTCAGTTGCGATTTGTACTAGAATCACCTTTCTCAACCACAGGGTACCTACTTCTCCGCCAAACTCATGCTCCCCAGGAAGAGCAGGGGCTGTGGCAGAAACGCGGGCTGTTTTATGAGCGAAGAGTGACAGAATGGCGGCAACAGGATATCACAGAAGGAAGGCTCTTCTACAGGCACTCAGGGCCCCATAGTCCTGGGCCCGTGATGGACCAATTGACATTTAGAGTCCAAGACAACCATGACCCCCCTAACCAATCTGGGATCCAAAAGTTTGTGATACGCATTCATCCTGTGGACCGCCTTCCTCCAGAACTGGGCCGTGGCTGTCCCCTTAGGATGGTGGTACAGGAATCCCAGCTCACACCACTGAGAAAAAAGTGGCTGCACTACACTGATGTGGACACAGATGATAGAGAGCTACACTACACAGTGACCCAGCCCCCCATGGACACAGATGAAAACCATGCACCTGCTCCACTAGGCACTTTGGTCTTCACTGATAATCCCTCAATCATAGTGACCCATTTTACCCAAGCCCAGGTTAACCATCATAAAATTGCTTACAGGCCCCCCCAATCAAGAGCTAGGAGTAGCAGCTCGAGTGGCACAGTTTCAATTCCAAGTAGAGGATCGAGCTGGGAATGTTGCTCCGGGCACCTTCACTCTTTACCTGCAGCCTGTGGATAACCAGCCTCCTGAGATTGTCAATACTGGCTTCACTATTGAGGAGAAGGGCCACCACATCCTGCAGGAGACTGAGCTGCACGTGAATGATGTTGACACCGATGTGGCCCACATCTCTTTCACTCTCACACAGGCTCCCAAGCATGGCCACATGCAAATCTCTGGCCAGACATTACATGTCGGAGGACACTTCCGTTTAGAGGACATACAGCATGGCAGAGTCTCCTATTCAAATAGCGGGGATGAATCTTTGACTGACAGCTGCTCCCTGGAGGTCAGTGATAGACACCATGTGGTGCCCATCACTCTCAGAGTGAATATTAAGCCAGTAGACCGTGAAGGTCCCAGGTCAATCCTTCCAGCTGGCACTCTGGAGTCCTATCTAGATGTCTTGGAAAATGGGGCTACTGAAGTCACTGCCAATATCATTAAGGGGACCTATCAAGATACTGATGATTTAATGTTGACTTTCCTATTGGAAAATCCACCTTTATATGGGGAAATTCTGGTCAATGGAGCTCCAGCTGAGCATTTCACTCAGAGGGACATCCTGGAGGGTTCTGTTGTCTATGTCCACACCAGTGGTGAGATTGGCCTGTTGCCTAAAGCAGACTCTTTTAACCTGAGCCTGTCAGATATGTCTCAAGAATGGAGAATTGGCAGCAGTATTATTCAAGGTGTTACTGTGTGGGTGACCATTCTACCTGTGGACAGCCAAGCCCCAGAAATTTCTGTTGGGGAGCAGTTTGTAGTGCTAGAAGGTGACAAGAGTATGATAACCCTAACCCATCTAAGTGCTGAGGACACAGACTCACTGAACGATGACCTCTTGTGCACAATAGTCATTCAGCCAACCTCAGGCTATGTGGAGAACATTTCTCCAGCACCAGGCTCAGAGAAGTCAAGAGCTGGGATTGCCATTAGTGCCTTCACTGTGAAGGATCTCAGGCAAGGACACATTAATTATGTTCAGAGTGTCCACAGGGGGGTTGAGCCTGTGGAAGACCGTTTTATATTCCGTTGTTCTGATGGCATTAACTTTTCTGAGAGACAGATTTTCCCCATTGTAATCATTCCTACCAATGATGAACAGCCAGAAATGTTCATGAGGGAATTCATGGTGATGGAAGGCATGAGTCTGGTGGTTGACACACCCATCCTCAATGCTGCAGATGCTGACATTCCCGGGATGATTTAACTTTCACCATTACCCGGTTTCCAACTCATGGTCACATCATGAACCAGCTGATCAATGGTACAGTGTTGGTCGAAAGCTTCACCCTGGACCAGATTATAGAGAGTTCCAGCATTATTTATGAGCATGATGACTCTGAGACTCAAGAAGACAGTTTTGTGATTAAATTGACAGACGGCAAGCACTCTGTGGAGAAAATGGCCCTCATTGTGGTCATCCCTGTGGATGACGAGACCCCCAGGATGACCATCAATAATGGGCTAGAAATAGAAGTTGGGGAAACCAAAGTTATCAACAACAAAATACTAATGGCAACTGATTTAGACTCTGATGACAAATCATTGGTTTATATTATTCGTTATGGACCAGGACATGGCTTGTTACAGAGGCAAAAACCTACAGGTGTCTTTGAAAACATCACCCTAGGCATGAATTTTACCCAGGATGAAGTGGACAGAAATTTAATTCAGTATGTCCATTTTGGGCAAGAGGGCATTCGAGACCTAATTAAATTTGATGTGACAGATGGAACGAATGCCCTTATCGATCGATACTTTTATGTGTCTATTGGAAGTGTTGATATTGTCTTCCCTGATGTGATAAGTAAGGGTGTGTCCTTGAGAGAAGGTGGCAAAGTCACTCTTACAACAGACCTACTGAGTACAAGTGACTTGAATAGTCCTGATGAGAACTTAGTTTTCACTATTACCAGGGCTCCTATGAGAGGTCACTTGGAGTGCACAGATCAAAGAGGAGTGTCCATCACTTCTTTCACTCAGCTCCAATTGGCTGGTAACAAGATCTACTACATCCATACAGCTGAGGATGAGGTAAAAATGGACAGTTTTGAGTTTCAAGTCACAGATGGACGGAACCCTGTCTTCCGAACATTCCGGATCTCCATCAGTGATGTAGACAACAAAAAGCCAGTGGTCACCATCCACAACTTGGTGGTCAGCGAAAGTGAGAGCAAGCTGATCACTCCCTTTGAGCTCACTGTGGAAGACAGAGATACTCCTGACAGGCTCCTCAAATTCACTGTCACCCAGGTCCCCGTTCACGGGCACCTCCTATTCAACAACACTAGATCCGTCATGGTTTTTACCAAGCAAGACTTGAATGAAAACTTAATCAGCTACAAACATGATGGCACAGAGTCCACGGAAGACAGTTTCTCCTTCACGGTGACTGATGGCACCCACTCTGACTTCTATGTTTTTCCTGATACAGTATTTGAAACTAGGAGACCTCAAGTCATGAAAATCCAAGTGCTGGCTGTTGACAACAGTGTTCCCCAAATTGTGGTGAACAAAGGAGCTTCTACACTTCGTACTCTGGCCACTGGACATTTGGGGTTCATGATCACAAGCAAAGTACTGAAAGTGGAGGACAGAGACAGCCTACATTTTTCTCTCAGGTTCATTGTGACAGAAGCTCCCCAACATGGCTACCTTCTAAACCTGGGCCAAGGTAACCACAGCATCACACAGTTTACACAAGGTATGTCCTGATCCTCACTCCTTACAACCAAAGCCCATGCTAGGCTTTATTTCTTGAAAATGAACCTGTCACTAAAATTTATAAGTAGAACATCAAGATTGAGCTAAAGGGAAGAGGAAGGGAAGGAAGGAGGAAGGAGACAGGGAGGGAGAGCACATAGGTACCCAGAGCCCTGGGAAAACACCCACTTTGCTGTGGGTTGCATTGTAGAGCCCTTTGTCAGAGGGAGTATAAAGGTACTGTGACTATGGCAAGATATGCTGATAAGGCAAGGAGGAGAATTTCAGGGTTTATGGTAGAGGCTGATTTTGTGATGCTGCTTTATTTCACTAATTTTCTTGACAACCTGTTGTGTGGACTGCACATAGTCCTTGAAACATTTTAGTGACATCCAGATATGCCTGGATAAATTGCCTGGTTGTCACTATCAGTATACATTCAAACACAGAACCTTTGAATGCATATACTTTTATTTATTTATTTATTTTAGAATACTGGGTTGATACTTGCTGAGACTATTGGGAATTTTGTAACTAAAGACACTATTCATTTTTTATTTGAGAGTTTCCTATTGGTTCATGACTGCAAAACAAAGACAAAAGAGATAAATAAACCTGTTTAAAATTATATCTCGTGTAATAGGACACAGCACTAGGATACGCTCAAAAAAGGGGAGCCCACAGTTAATGGTGTTCAAGGAAGCTCTCTTCATTCATTGGCCAACTAGTGATCTATCTCATTAAATTTTGGCAAATATGAAAAGAGGGCTAAGAGTCAAAGGAGGGAATTATTTCATTATTATTTTTCATTATTCTACTGCTTTTATTGTTGTTTACTATTATTTATTCTTTTTCCTTAATTATTTATTTTGTTATTTGCTACTGTTATTTTTGTTATTGTTATAGTGACTTATTTCATTGTTATTTTTCATTCATTGCTTTTCATTCATTGTTTTCTTCAAAGCCTTCTCTCTCCCCTTTCCCAGGCAAAGTGTCAGACACCCCTTGCCTGAAGCACCTGCATTCCTGAGGCCCTTGAGGCAGCAGGCTCTGATGAGGTCAGAGATGGAAGGGAGGGCAGGTGACCTCTGCAGAGTGGCTCAGAGAAGGAAGGGGGGAACCATTCAGCAGCTAGCTGGAGGTTAAGGCTCTGTTCTCAGACCCTGCCACTTTCATTACAAAGGGATTTGTGTTGCTTTCGGAAAATCTCTCAGCACCGAATGGAAACTGGATCTGCCCATGGAGGCTCTGGGGTGGAAATGGAGTGTAACCCCAGGACATCCCAGTGGGGGTGTTCTTTTCCTGCTACAGCGTTCTGCTCTCAGACAACAAACACTTTAATAGACAAGGATGTTGTGTTGAAGCGATCTACTTTTCTGTTTGATGCTGGCAAACAGCTTCACACTCCAGCCTCTGATTCTTGGCTGAGAGCCTGCATACATCTCGGGCTTGCAGGGACAGGAAAACCCCAGTGTGAGAGTGTCATGCCAGCCCAGCAGAGTTTTCTGCAGTGTTAGGCTGATGTGTTTTCATGGAGAGGACCGGAGAAATATGGAGGGCAGAAAGCCTTACTTCTCACCCCACCATACACACGCCACACCAATGTGTTTTCACAGTAGTTTTTATTGTTTAAAAAAATGGAAGAAGATAAGCTAATGATTTCTTTTAAGTTCTACAGGCCAAATATAACAGCTCAGAAATACCTCCAAATTATTCCTTATATGGTGAACCCTAAAATTATTCTATTTTATTGTAGGCATTTTGTTTTGTTTTGTCAGAGTAACCATGATTAAATTTTATTATCCCTGTAACTGTAGTTATATTTTGTTATAAAAAATTATACTTTTAAAAGTTGCATTTTAAAGGAACTTAACCCTTCCTAATACAAAGTGAGACTCTATGGAGGAGTACTTCTGATATTTAATCACACAGCACTCATTTGAACAAGTTGAGGCTGGAGTTTGGTTCGTAGCAGTTATTTATGGAGATTAGATAAGTGTTTAAAGATGCAGAGGGCTCCTTCACAGCTGCCTGCTCCTCCTGGAGGGAAATGAGAGCAGTGTTGGGCCTGAGGACCTTATGTGCAGTCCTCTGTTTTTGGTTTTGCATTATCATGAAGAGACAACTGAAAATGAATTTTGATGGAGTTGAACACTTAGCAAAGGTGGCCAGAGAGGTTATTCTAACTGTTGATTAACTAAATGGCCCTTGGGAGACATTTAAATTTTTTTTCCCAAAGGCTTACATAAATGCATTGTCAAGAAAGGTTCACAATGTGAACAGCTTGCTCCCAGGTCTAAGCATGCCTTGACTTTCCTTTTTCTCTACAATGAGTACATAATGAGGCCACAGAGATGGCTCAGCAGTTAAAAGCACCGGCTGCTCTTGCAGAGGGCCAACTTCAGTTCCTGCACCTACACTGCAGCTCATAACTACAAGTAACTCCAGTTTCAGGGGATCAGATGCCCTCATCTGGCTTCTTGGGGTACTAGGCAAGCACACAGTGTGCCCTGGTGCATGCAGGCAAAGCACTCATGTACACAAAGTAAAAGCAAATAATGAGCATGTACTGACATTTTTGTTGAATATTTTGTTAATCGCTTTCAGAAAGGCATGAAGTCCCCCTCCATTTGTACCAGCTGCGATTACCAAGGATATTTGCTTAAAACAGAAACTTTGGAATGCCTGTGTAGATCAGTGAGATAAATACGTCAAATATAGCAATCAGAAGACATTCTAATTCTTAGATTATTGTTATAATATTTCAGCTATCTTAATTATTGTCCTCTTTGACTTAAGGGAGGTACTGTTTATGGACATTTGCAATTTGTTTTTACATGTACCTTTAGAATAACAGAATGGTTATCAAGAGTCTCCCAGAGTTATAAGGAAAGTGATAAGCTTTGAAGTGGTTATTTATTTCAATGAATTCTCTCTTAATGTTGTATTCTTTTAAAGATAACTTTGACATGTGTTGTATAGTAGAGGTTTGTTTTTCTAACTTATTTATTTTGGTTTTGGGATTTCTCTTCATGGCCCTTGCTGCCCTAGAACTCCCTTGTAGACCAGACTCCCTAGTGCCCCACCACCGACCAGCTTCTTTATTCTTATTGTCTGCAGTTTTGCCTGTGTGTATGTCTGTTTGCTGGGTGTGTGCCTGCTCCCTGTGGAGATCAGAAAAGGTCAGCAGTTCCTCTGAACAGGGATTCCAGAGGCTGTGAGTCCTCTACAAGAGCAGCCAGTGCTCTTACCTGTTGAGCCATCTCTCCAGCCCACCTGAGCTTCGTTTTTTAATGACTTGCAGACTTTTGTTTCGACTTATTTTATGTATATGTGTTTTGCCTGCACATATGTCACCCACATTCATGCAGTGCCCAGGGAGGCCAGAAGTGAACAGCACATCATCTGTAACTGGAATTAAGATAACTACAGGTGCTGGGAACTGAACAATGGTTCTTAGCAAGGGCATCTGAGTCATCTCTCCAGTCTCCAATCATCATCAGTGATATTACTATTATTATTATTATTATTTAAGTTTGGGTGAGAAGGTTTAAAAAAAGTTTTCCTCATGGCTGCAGGTGATGGTGGGTACAATAGGGATGTGGAGACAGCAGGGTTCTCACTACTCCTTTGTGATTAACAAGTAAACAGGCCAAGGAAGTACAGGGTGATGCAGTGGCTGTGCAGGGCTATGCAGGGTGATGCAGTGGCTGTGCAGTGGTTGTGCAGGGCTGTGCAGGGCTGTGCAGTGCTGTGCAGGGTAATGTAGTGGCTGTGTAGTGGTTGTGCAGGGTTGTGCAGGGCTGTGCAGGGCTGTGCAGGGCTGTGCAGGGGCTGTGCAGGGTGATGCAGTGGTTTACAGGGCTATGCAGGGTGATGTAGTGGCTGTGCAGAGCTCTGCAGGATGATGCAGTGGCTGTGCAGAGCTGTGCAGGATGATGCAGTGGCTGTGCAGAGCTGTGCAGGGGCTGTGTGTGCCTCTTAGACTCAAAGAGACTTGCTCCAGGTTAAGGTGGAGGCGCAGGTGAGTGGGTGCAGCCACTCAGCTCTTTCATTTCAAGTTAAGACCCATGAGAGCATTTTCTGGCTATACATCATGTAAAAATGGTGAAAAAAAAAAAAAAACCTCAGAAGTGTTTAATCTTCTAGGAAAGAAGCCTGTGCGGATCAATATGAGCAATAGGAAAAAGTGTGGGTCACTGAGGCAGAGCTAGAGCTAAAGTATGACAGGGGTGCAGTACATTTGGACTTGGTCCTATGAACTGTAAAGCAGACTTTCCCATTGCCAGGAATGTCTCTTTGTGAGTGTACCTTCTTTCAGCGCTATGAGGCAGGATACAGTTCACAAGTCTTGTTTCCTAAGGAAAGAGTCAGAAATCTGTGGCAAGACAAGCTGAGTCCAAATGCTCCACTCATTCAAGTCAACTTTCTCATGTTTTTCTTTTGTTTATCATCCCTGTGAACTCAACAGCACAAACCTAAAAGACCTTTCAGAATTAGAAATACCATAAGCACACTGGAGACACATAAATATCACATACCTGTTGACAGTGTTCTTAGCCACATCCTGACATCTTGTAACCTCAGAAACTCACTGAGTGGCACAGCTCAAAGAGATATATTTCAATATCACAGGACAGAATGGTATCTGTTTCATTAAATTGTATGTGTGGCATCATTAAGGAGAGGAGCTCATAAAATGGATGGATTTTTAAAATTGTGTTTTAGTGATGTCAACAGATCTATGCACGTGAATTTGGTGGACTTGGAAGCAGTGAAAGGGGCTATTCTAAGGTGCTAAGGTCTCTACTATGCATGCATTAAAGCTTTAGAGCCATCTGCTGCACCATAGCAGCTAAGAAATATCACTATCACGGGAAAGAAAACCACTGCTCCTCTCTTTGGCTTCCTGTACGACTCATTCTGCAAGGGAAGCAAAGCATGCAATTTCAAGAGGCCCAGGAAATCTGCCATGCCTCAAAATATCTTTCTTTCCACCTGTCATGGAGCCTGACACGCCATTTTTAGATAGCCACTCCTTTGGTGGGAAGGGACACCACCTTTCTATTATTGTAATCTAAGTCTGGCCCTCTATTTTTCTGTGTGCAGGGTCAGATTTCTACAGGACAGCTGGCATTAGGGGTGTAGCGATAGAGATAAAGCACTGTTCCCCCTCAAAGGGGTCTAAACATGTTTTCAGAAACATAATAATAGCCAATAGGATTTATTGTAAGCACAAGCCATCAGTTTTGAAACAGTAATTAATTACCTTGCCTTTTGGTTGTTTTTTAGCTGACATTGATGACCTGAAAATATGCTATGTCTTAAGAGAGAGAGCTAATGCCACAAGTGATATGTTCCATTTCATAGTGGAAGATGATGGTAAGTATTTCACCCTCTGGATGGTGAAACATCCAAAGCCCTTTTAATTTTATTTATTTACTTATTTTGGTTGCTGTTTGACTACATTGCTACAAGGAATCCTTATCGGGTGTTATTTTGTACTCATTTGCTTTTATGCAGAATGAATTTTGTGTCTGCTATAGAAGGTTTAGTTTCAATCTGACAGAATTCCATTCTTTAGTAGCTACAGGTAAATGTCATATTGTTTCTGTCTTGTGATTCATAAGAGGGGAGAAGGAGGGAGTGAGGAAGGGAGGAAGAGAGAGAGAAAGAGAGAGAAATCACTGTGTGAATAGGGTACCTCTGCCCAGTTATTTAGATTACTCAGGCAGCAGGACGATGCTGGAATCTAGCCATGCTCTCATCATAGCCCACACCTCCCCTAGTGGGTCTTCCCCAAATAGTATTTCCCTGGGCACTGTCTCTATTCAACCAGAACTCTGTGATAAACATGGCCTCATTGCTCCAGTATCAGGATATATACTGATCTTAGTTTGGGGGATTTTTGTGAGTTGCTCTAGCTAAAACGGTTCCTTGGCCAGGTTTGAAGAACATTGTAGAAACTGGTATGTGCCTTTCTAAGTCTCCTAGACAAGAATCTTTATTGCCACCAGCCATCCCCAGACCTGCTCAGGGACTCTTCCGCTCCTAGTGGTCCTTATTGTTCTTTTGATACAGCTAATGCCTATAAAACACAAACACGAGACTCAGCACCCACGTGGAGTTTATTGAGAGAAGGGAGAGAAAGAGGGGGTAGCTGGTGGCCAACCAAAAGCAGGAGAGAGAGAGAAAGAGCAGGGGGGGCAGAGAGAGAGCAAGAGAGGGTAAGAGGGGGCAAGGGAGGGCAAGAGGGGGCAAGAGAGAAACCAGAGAGGTGCGCTTCCGCTTGTTTTAAAAAGGGGGCTTGCGCATGCGTAACTGAGTCCTCTGGCAGCCAGGTAAAGCTTGAGCCTCCAGGTAAGGCTGACATAGTGATGATACGGCCATGAGCTTCCCGCCCATCGTCGGGGGCGGGGGTCAGCTGGCTGCTAGTTCCTAACAGTCCTTCCTTCCCACCCTGTAAACACAGACCTGGAAATATCTAGCCACTTCTGAATTGAGTAGAAAGATATCTTTGTTGTCCAATGTCCTCATGGAAAGCCACGGAGTCTCACCAAGTATTGATCTTGTACAAACAGGACACAGGAAGTTCCAAGAAAGAAGCCAACTAGGTCTGAGTCTATTTCCTTATGACACTTTTAAAATAATGGCATACTGTTATGCAGAGATGCTTCCCACCCTCTGTATCCACTGAAGCATAAAATGCTCTTGTTTAAAATACCACTTCGTACAACATGACCAGATGTCTGAAAGTGATGTCTATTGTGTGCATACCAGAGAGGCAAAAGAAGGTTTCCCAACTTAGGCAGAGTTATTTGATTCCTACTTCAAATCTGAGGCTTAATATAGCTAATGCCTGTGTTTGAAAGGAACCAAAACATAGTTTAGTATTTGACATACTGGCAAAGGAATCTCAGTAAGGAACAAAGTCCTAAGAAAGGAAAACCAACTGACAAACTGAAAATGGGGTACTTACTGAAGCAAGTTTTTGGCAAAATTCTGCCAAAAGAAATTGTAATATAAGACCTGAGCAAGCCTCAATTAACACGATTTTTTTCTTAAAATTACAAAAACAAAATATTAAGAATCCCATGGCTTGCAGCTAGGGAGATGGCTTAGCATTCCCAGCACCCATAGGACAGCTCACAACCATCTGTAACTCTAGTTCCAGAGGATCTAATGCCTTCCTTCTGACCTCCTTGGGCACTGTACACATGTGATATACATATATACATGCAAGCAAAAACACTCATACATGTGAAATAAAAATAAATCCATTAAAAAAAAACCAACAGCCTTTATTTCAAAATGTTTTGTTTCTCCACATTTGTATATACACCCATAATTATTCTATTCCACACATTTTTGTTTAGGTGGGATGGAAAAAATATGTTAAAACTGTCCTTAAACTTTGGAAAGCATTGTATTTTCTATCATATTTCAAAAATAATAAGTAAGGATGGCTAGTTATAGAGGTTGGGTTTATGCTCAGGTTGCTGAAGATATGGCGGGGCTTCTGGAGATGGCCTTTATGATTGTGAAAGTGGAAAGGAAATCATTCCAGGAATTCCTTTGGAGCTTCGGTTTAACATGGGCAGAATATTTTAGAGATAATGTTTGTGCCTTCCTCTCCACAGATGTAGCATTACCTGTAGGGCTCAGCTAGATCCTGGCAGAGCATTATTAAATAAAATGTACCTGAAACTCCCTGATGTAAGAAAAGTTCCTTTTGACAAAATAAACAAAAGTCTACAAGTTCAAAAAAAATAGGAAGCCGGTGTATCTTAAAATTGAGTCCACCTGGTTTTTAAACAGGGTGATACGTTATCTTGCAAAGGGTCTACCATTTGGATGAGGCAATCAGGCCTGCTGAGGCATACAAAGTATTAGCCATAGTGATCTTCTACTTTATACAAAGAGGATATACCACTTTTAAGTCATCTTCTAAGTGTGAACAGCATCCAGTATCTCACATCTGGGCAGCTGTCAGACATCATTACATAAGATTAAGCACTTTAATGTCCAAGCCTCTTTCTAGGCCTCCGAAGTCATCTTCTTCAAACCCATAGGACTATTTTTAGACTAGTGACTAGCTAAGTGAATTTCCAGGACAAACATAATCCTTGGATCTTCCTAAAAATAAAATATTATAGCTGTGCAGTGTTTTTGATGCCTTTAATTCCAGCACTCAGGAGGCAGAGGCAGGTAGATCTAATGAGTTTGAGGCCAGCCTCATCTACAGAGCAATTTCCAGGATAACCAGGGCTATGCAGAGAAACCCTACTTCAAAATAAATAAATAAATCATTACTTCATGTCAAGGATCAAGAGTGAGAGAAGAAATGGTTGGAAGCAGAAGCCTAAGAGCTTCTGTTTCTGGTTATTCATGTTTGGTTAGAACCTGGTAGGTCACAGGATTCTCCTGTTACGATGTGGTCATGAATGGGTGACCATTCACCATTCAAGGGGTGGTTCTTGGGACACACGCCTTGAACTTTGATGTTAATTATCAAGTGTGGGAAGAACATTAGTGTGAAATGGGCAGTGTTGTGTTTTACCCCAGGAGGTTCCTGCTATGTTATAATATAACACAGTAACCCAGTACGGAATTCTTATTACTATTCTTAATGGTGCATTTTTAGAGAAAAAAAAAGCTGTGGTCAGTATCGTATATAAACAATTCCAGAACTTAAGTTATATAGAGTAGTAAGCATTTCTCTAGATGATGTACTATAGAATACACAAGCACGCAGGAAGGGCTTAAATCTCAGCGATCTCACCACTGGGCTTTAACCCTTTGGTATGATTTATTGTTGCCCATGAAAGTTTGCTCTCACCACATCACTCTGAGCTTAGTAAAACAACAGTAAAAATATAATTCCTAATTGGAAGATAAGAAAACTAAGTCATAGAAATGGGTAACTAACCTCTTAACACTTTAAGTAGACAAATAGAGGTTGAAAGGAAGCCCGGGTTCGTCTGCCAGACAGTGAAAACCCTAGGCTTCCCCACTGTTCCTGATATGCAGAAGAAAGCTGAGACTCACTGGCCTCAGTTCTGCATACTGAGCTTTCAGGGAGGGCATTTGTGGTGCATGCCTTTAGTCCCAGCACTCAGAAGGCAGAAGCAGGCAGATCTCTGTGAGGTTTGAGGCCAGCCTGGGCTACAGAGTGGGTGCCAGGTCAGCCTGGGATACCAAGAGAAACCCTGTCTCAAAACAAGAATAAAAATTTAGTCAGAACACAGAGTATCGTTTAGAGTGTTAATTTTTATTCCAAAATGCTTCAGATGTCCTACAGTTCTCCACTTTATAGTCCTTTCCCCTGTGACTGTGGTTAAACTGTTAATACTACAAGGTATTCTCACATAAAAGTGGTTTAAGGGACCTTTGTAATTTTCTCTCCAAGGAACTAGTCTAGCGGTTTATTGTGATGTGAAAGCCAGTTTCAAGTAACTATTTCAGGTATGTCCCACCCTCAGCCCTAATGACTGTTAATCTCTCTTCAGCACCAGCTCAAATGTCATTTCCTTTCCAAATCTGTTCCCTGTACCATGATTAGGAAGTTAGCCATGGTCTTCTTAGTGCTTTATATCCCTAACCTTACTTATAGCAGGAATGTCCTATTGTGACAATTAGCTCATGAAGTTCATCTCCATCAATTCAGACATAACCTTTTGTCCCAGGACCCATGCAAAGTTGAACATGTGGTATATACAGGACCAGTGTTAAAATAAAGGAAGCAACAAATGAAGGTAGAGCCCTTCATTTTTAAGTAAGGAGCAATTAAACAGTACCCCAAGGGAAGCTCCTGAAGCAGTTTCCGGTGGCATTCTGTAAGAATGTTTTCTTATCTTGCTTTAACGTAAATCCCTATGGCACCAACAAGGATTCTTCCCTAAGCTTCCACGTTTATAAGCATAGGAAACCAGCAACTGTTTCCTGCCTGGAGACTGGAGACTGCCTTGAAATCTTCAGTGAAATGTTCTTGAGATTGGAAAGAGCCCCAATTTAGAGTTCTGGTTACTATTCTTAAAGAGGCATTTTCGAGGTGGGGGTTGAGGGTAGCAGCTTTTGGTATATTGTATACACAATTCCAAACTTAAAATTTTAAGAGACCTGGGCAGTGGTGTCACACACCTTTAATCCCAGCATTTGGGAGGCAGAGGCAGGCAGATCTCTGTGAGTTCGAGGCCAGTCTGTTGTTCTACAGAGTGAGTTCCAGAATAGCCAAAGCTACACAGAGAGACCCTGTCTTGAAAACACTAAACAAACAACTAACAAAAGAACAACAAAAACAAAACATACTTTAAAGAGAAATATGTTTCTCTTTAATATTTTCTACATTACTGAATTTTTAAAGCCAGACCAAAATTTTTGGC